TTATTGAAAGCTGCATATTTAGTTATTGAAACATTACCTTTCAGCATATCCACCATTTTCTTGAATGTAAAACTTTTTTCCTGATAAGTAATTGAAAAAAGTGAACCAATGCTGACAATCAGACTTTCTTTATCTCTACTCGACTTTTGTGCATGAGAGCATGTTACTGTATTAATTTACTAGACAAAGCATTGATCTTTATAAAATTTTTGTACAAATGCAAAAACAAAATAATTATGATCTGTCTTAGAATTTCAGAACCATTTATGAATGTTTTCAGTGAGCTTCAAAAACATTCAAGGTGGATCAGCTAAAAGTTAACATCTACTAAATATACTGTAATGTGAATAAATTTGCTTTTATAGCTGATATTTACATTTTTTGTAAGTTTTTTTTTCTACATTAAATTTTTAGAGACATTTTGAATTTTCAAACCACTCTACAGTATATTTCAAGTGAACATAGCATTTATAGTCCTGATTTATGTTGACATACTTTTCTCTACGTGACAGAAATAAATTTCTTTCAAGTGTTTTTAATTACCTTTTCAAAAAGGTAAATTTAACTGGAAAGTCTAGGCCCTTAAAATGGACCAAAAATCAATTTGATTTTTATCTGAAATAGTCAAGTTTTCTTTCTTTCTCTTTCTCTCTCTCTCTCTCTCTGTTGAGGACAAATTTTGTTTTGTACATATATTTTATCATTTCTTAATTTGATGTCCTCTTCCTTCCTGATCTTGACTAGTGAGACCATCTGGGATCAAGTTGAAGCAACTCTAACAATCCAAACAAATTTATTTTTGATTTTTCAACCAGTAATTTAATCTTTCTTTGTTTACATTTGAATATTTTATTTGTATATCAAGGTTAATTTAATAACACTAGCATTTTTACTAAACTTGTCCTTCATACAAATAAATTCTTTATTTACTGCTTAGTAAGATTAGTCACAATAACACACTGCATCAATGTTTATTTGTTTTAGATTTCATGGAAGTAAATAGGAAAATATTCTTTATTCCAAGAACTGTTATAAAAAGTAATTTTCAAGGCCTTATTAGGACAAGATATGAATAATTTCTGTTTCGACTTTGACTTTAGAAAATAAGTATATAAATATTTTAATCAATTATATATTCACCATTATTTGCAATGACTTGTTGCCACTTACCAAGTAGCTCTTTAATAATATTTGAGTAACATATCACAGGTTTTGATGTGATTGAAAAAGGTAACAATCGGTTGATACGAGTTCAAGAATACAGTTGGTAAAATAGAACAGACCAAACAAGTTCCTGCATTATTCTTGCTATATACAAACCTTGTGTTGACACGAAAGAAAACAAAATTTTTCCTCTAATTCACTGTGTACACTGCCACTTCTGTACAAAGCTAAGGTATTTTAGTGTATTCTGAATTTATTCTTAACTGCCATGTGTGATTAGTTGTTATTACAATTGTTTCACAAAAATGGAAATTACTTATGACTCAGCCTAATAGTATTTAATTATGTACTGGGATTTTAGAATAAAACATGTTATTTTGTTAAAATAAATAAAATATATTAAAATAAATTGAAGTGCTTTTCTATAATGATTTTATTTGGTCAAATAAAATGTCTATATTGCAAGAAATATTAAAAAGATGAAATATTTAAATTTTTAGTTGGCCTTATTTTTATATTGTTTTTTTCAAAATGTTTTTTGGATTTATTCTTTTTTGAACCCAAAAAGAAAATTCAAACTAAATCAGAAATATTATTAAACTATTTTTGTTTTTTTTTATTGTCCTCCTCTCAGTTTGAATATAATAAATTTGAGGGTAACATTACCACTTTGTGCAGCATCCATCATTTTTGCATCTAGCCAGTCCAAGTATTCCAGTATGTTAGCATATTTACTACTGTACTAAATGTTACCTCTCTCTAAATCATTCTCACTCTCCTTCTCTCTTGCTCTCTGTTGATTTTCCTTTTGCTCCTGGTCCATTGAAAATTCTCATATGATATTCATTATAATATCTATCTTTTATATAAAAATCAGCAATTGTCCATCACCCTCCTAAAATAACTATACATTTACCAATCAAAAACAGTTTTGAGGAGAAGTGTGCAAACAGAGTTTTACTAGCTTAGTACAATAAATTCATTAAATTTTTTTGTGTTTTTATTATTTTAACTTTTGCTCTACAGCATTGTTTTAAAAAACGTATTTAATGATTAAATAACAATACTTATTTAATAAAAATGCAATATTGTTTTTGCATATCTTTCTTTTAAAGTTTTTATATTTACAAAAATTGGTTCCAGTTCACCCTGTGTTTGCAAGAATATAAACAAAATTGTTGGTAAATTTTTTTGGAATTTTGCTCCCAAAGAAAATGTTTACATGGCCGGTTGTATGTTGCATACCAAAGTAAGCATCCTAAGATTTATTTCTTTGTTGTTAAAAAAAAAAAAATTTTTTCTTAAAAAATTGTTTGACCTATAAAATTACATTAAGAAGAAATTATTCAACCACAAAATAGGGTTTTTGTAAGTATTTTTTCCAAGCAACTCAGTTTATTCAATTTTCATTGATTGATTGGTGAAATTGAATGAAAGATAGTTTGTAAATCTCAACAAAAAATGTTAGCAATAACTTCAACAATACTAAATGCTGTGAGGATTTCAAAATGCATTAGTGTGTTGTGAAAAAATTCCAGTTTTCTTAAAACTTAGAACTTCTGAGTAAATTATCAACTAAAAACTCTATGTAATTTAGATTTTCAGCTTACAATTTCTCCTTTACTCCTCTGTCATGTCAATTTGAGACATGTTATTTAATCAGTTGTGCACTCTTAGTGCGACAAATTTAATTGCTTACCATCTTTTTTGTGTTAGCCATTACAACTAATGGATATTATCTACTTCTCTGTTTCAACACTTGACTCCATGTAAGATATTTATCTTATTTTTAAGGATAATAGTTTTTAGAATAAGTCAGGCTCAGACTCTGACTTATGTAGACATGCTGTGTTAATGACCTCTTGAGAGATAGTCTTAGCCTGAAAATTGGTGCCAGGTTGTTCTGTCCCAAATGAGAGATAAGTAAAAATTTTTTATTGACAGCACAGTTACGGGGAGCCATCAGTGGTTGAGCTTTCTGCATAGTTTCACAAGTTTTTTTGACCGAGGTTACCATTTCTTTCTGTAGTAGGACCTTGTTCAAGACTTTAACGCCAGATGTAACATAACCTTCCAGAAACTGAAACAAAGATCTACTATGTCCATTTTTATAGTTGAACAAACACAAATGGTGTTTTTTGCAAGTTTTTTTAATTCAGACACCAAATTTTGAATATACAACAGGCAATATCTTTTTTCAGATACAAGTTTATTTTATATTTTCATAATAAAATTGTCACATATAAATTTTATTTTTATTGTTTGAAACCAAATAAATATATCTTCTCATCCCAGAAATGGTTTGACAGAAAAGTAAATTTGTTGGGTCAGAAATACTTTGAAAAAAATATTTTAATTTTTTAAATCCTTTACATATCTTGTTGGTGTTTAAAATAACTATTTTGGACCCATAATTCAAAAGTATTGACAACTAAAATTATCAATGCAAATAATTTCTGTTTTCTCTCTTACTTTAATCTTTGCCTGTATTTATTCTCTTTCCTTATAATTCCAAACTAAGACTGTCCATTATTTCAACTTATTCTGGGAAATTTTGGTATCTCCCCCCCTCTCTCTTTGTTGATTTCTTATTCTTTCCCTTACCTTCCTACACAAGACTGTCCATTATTTCATGCCTTTGCTTTACTCTCTCTCATCTCTCTTATTTCTCTCCTCTCTCTTTTGCCTGTAGAATTCTTATTCCTTGATGTTTACTTAACCACTAATGGATTTCAAGTTTCTTCAAAAACATCCCATCTCTCTTTTGTCTTCCTTTTCTCTTTCTCTCTCTCTAAATATTCTTTCCCTAGCAACTTAGTGAAGGGGTATAAGATTATTCTTTTCCTTATAAATACAACCTAAGACTGTCCATTATTTCATGCCTTTGCTTTTCTCTCTCTCTCTCTCTTCTCTTTTTTCCCTTTTTTTGTATCTTCTTATTCTTTCCTTTACCTTCATGTCAGACTGTCCATAAATCATTATACTCTCTTAAAATTGTTTTTCTCTCCTAAATCTTTGCCTGTATCTTCTTATTCTTTCCCTTTATTCCAATAAAAAGACTGTCCAAATTTTCATGCCTTTTTCTCTCTTTCTCTTCCTTTTCTCTCCTTTTTTTTGTATCTTTTATTCTTTTTAATTGTTTTTATTTCATGCCTTATTCTTTTTTCTTTATACCTAATTTCTCTAGCATTATCTTCTTATTCTTTACTTATACCTTCCAATACAACTAAGACATTATTTCTGCGCCTTGCATTTTCTTCCTTTCTCTCTCCCTCTCTTTTTTTTTTATTCTTTCCATTTATACCTTGTTAGTCATTTTTCATGCCTTTGCTTTTCTCTCTCTCTCTCTCTCTTTCTTCTTTTCTCCCTCTCTCTCTTTTCCTGTATATATTCTTAAATAAGACTGTCCATTATTTTAAAATCCTTTTCTCCTCTTTGTCCTTCCAGTCTCTCCTTCTCTCTGTATCTTCTTATTCTTTCCAGTACCCCTTCCAATACAACTAAGACTGTCCATTATTTCATTCTTGCTTTTACTCTCTCTCTTCCTTTCTTTCCCTCTCTCTAAAAAAATGTGTCTTTATTCTTTCCCTGCCTTCCAATACAACTAAGACTGTCCATTATTTCATGCCTTTGCTCTCTCTCTCTCTTCCTTTCTCTCCCTCTCTCTCTATTTTTTATTTCTTTTTCTTTAATACCTTCCAATTTTAGACTATCCATTATTTCATGCCTTGCTTTTCTCTCTCTCTCTCTCTCTCTCTTCCTTTCTCCCTCTCTCTCTTTGCAAGGTCTTATTCTTTCCCTTATAATACAACTAAGACTGTCCATTATTTCATGCTTACATTTGTCTCTCTTCCTCTCTCAAATCTCTTTGCCCTGAGAAGAAATCAAACTAGACTGTCCATTATTTCATTCTCTTGCTTCTCTCTCCTCTTCTTAAATTTTTTTGAAAAATTGTTTTGAAGTCCCTTTAACCTATGCCAAAATTCAAGAAATTATTTCATTTTCTCTCTTTCTCTCTTCCTTTTTCTCCCCTCTCTCTCTTTGCCTGTATCTTCTTATTCTTTCCCTTATACCTTCCAATACAACTAAGACATCCATTATTTCATGCCTTTGCTCTCTTCTCTCTCTCTTCCTTTCTCTCCCTCTCTCTCTTTGCCTTTTCTTATTCTTTTCCTTAAGAATACAAAATGTCCAGTTTTCACAACTCTCTCTCTCTCTCTTCCTTTTCTCTCCTCTCTCTCTTTGCTGAGAAATTATCCAAAATCACCATTAGGTCAAATTTGTATTTTCTTTATCTTCTCTCCTTTTCTCCCCTCTCTCTTTGAAATCAAAAAAATGTTATTTCATGCCTTTGCTTTTCTCTCTCTATCTTCTTATTCCTTTCTCTCCCTGTATCTTTTTATTCTTTCCTATACCTTCCAATACAACTAAGACTTACCATTATTTCATGCCTTTATTTTTTCTCTCTCTCTCTCTTTCCTTTCTCTCCCTCTCTCTTATTCTTATCTTTATTCTTTTCCAATAACCAAGACTGTCCATTATTTCATGCCTTTTTCTCCTCTCTCTCTTTCCCTTTCTCCTCCTCTCTCTCTTTGCCTGTAGACATCTTATTCTTTGACTTATTGAGAATATTTCAAGACTGTCCATTATTTCAGAAGTTTGATCTCTCTCTCTTGTTTCTCTCCCCTCTCTCTTTGAGAGATCTTCTTATTCTTTCCCCCTTATACCTTCCAAATACAACTAAGACTGTCCATTATTTCATGCCTTTACTTTTCTCTCTCTCTCTTCCTTTCTCTCTCTTTCTCTTTGACTGTATCTTCTTATTCTTTCCTATACCTTCCAATTTTTTTTCCTGTCATTATTTCATGCCTTTTTTCTCTTCTCTCTCTCTCTTTCTCTCCTCCTCTCTCTTTACCTGTATCTTCTTAATTCTTCTCTCCTTCCAATAAACTGAGAAGATATTTCAATTGTTCTCTTCTTTCCTTCTTCTCTCTCTTGCCTGTCTTCAATACAACTAAGATCTGTCCATTATTTCATTTTTGGATCTCTCTCTCTCTCTCTTCTTTTCTCCCTCTCTCTGGTCTTTTGTACTTATTTCTTATTCTTTCCCTATACCTTCAATACAACTAAGACTGTCCATTATTTCATGCCTTTGCTTTTCTCTCTCTCTCTCTCTCTTTCTTCCCTCTCTCTTTATTCTTATATTTTTCCCCTTAAAAACTGTCCATTAAATGCCTTTCTTTTCTTTTATTGTATCTTCTTAAGGACCTTCCAATAAAATAGACTGTCCATTATTTCATGCCTTTTCTTCTCTCTCTCTCTCTTCCTTTCTCTCCTCTCTCTCTTAAATTGCCTGTATCTTCCCCTTATTCTTTCCTTACCTTCCAATACAACTAAGACTGTCCATTATTTCATGCTCTTTGCTTTTCTCTCTCTCTCTCTTTTTTCTCTCCTATCTTTTGCCTGTATCTTCTTATTTTAAACTAACTGTCCCATTACCATGCCTTCTTCTTGCCTGTATCTTCTTATTCTTTTCCCTTATACCTTCCAATAATAAGACTGTCCATTATTTCATGCCTTTGCTTTCTCTCTCTCTCTCTCTCTCCCTTTCTCTCCCTCTTATTCTTTACCTGTATTCTTCTTTCCTCAACACAACTAAGACTGTCCATTATTTCATGCCTTTGCTTTTCTCCTCTCTCTCTCTCTCTCTTCCTTTCTCTCCCTCTCTCTCTTTGCCTGTATCTTCTTATTCTTTCCTTTATACCTTCCTTCAACTAAGACTGTCCATCCATTTTTTCATGCCTTTGCTTTCTCTCTCTCTCTCTCTTCTCTCTCCTTTCTCTCTCTCTCTCTTTTGCCTGTATCTTCTTATTCTTTCCTTATACCTTCAAACAACTAAGACTGTCCATTATTTCATGCCTTTGCTTTTCTCTCTCTCTCTCTCCTCTCTTCTTCTTTCCCTTATCTCTCAACCAAGACTGTCCTGTATCTTCTTATTCTTTTCCCTTATACCTAATACAACTAAGACTGTCCATTATTTCATGCCTTTGCTTTCTCTCTCTCTCTCTCTCTCTCTTCTTTCTCTCCTCTCTCTTTTTTCGCCTGTATCTTCTTATTCTTTCCCTTTATACCTTCCAATACAACTAAGACTGTCCATTATTTCATGCCCCCTTTTGCTTTTCTCTCTTCCTTTCTCCCTCTCTCTCTTTGCCTGTATCTTTATTCTTCCTTATACCTTCCAATACAACTAAGACTGTCCATTATTTCCCATGCCTTTGCTTTTTCTCTCTCTCTCTCTCTCTTCCTTTCTCCCTCTCTCTCTTTCCCTGTATCTTCTTATTCTTTTCCCTTTCTCTCCAATCTGTCCTATTTCTCTTCCTTTCTCTCCCTCTCTCTTCCTTTTCCCCCTCTTCTTTGCCTTTCCCTATTCTTTCCCTATACACTTCCAATACAACTAAGACTGTCCATTATTTCATGCCTTTGCTTTTCTCTCTCTCTCTCTCTTCCTTTCTCTCCCTCTCTCTCTTTGCCTGTATCTTCTTATTCTTTCCCTTATACCTTCCAATACAACTAAGACTGTCCATTATTTCATTCTCTCTTTGCTTTTCTCTCTCTCTCTCTTGCCTGTGTATCTTCTTAAAGATCTGTCCATTGTTCATGCCTTTGCTCTCTCTCTTCCTTTCTCTCCCCTCTCTCTCTCTTGTATCTTATTTTCCCTTATACCTTCCAATACTAAGACTTTTCAATGCCCACTGCTTTCTCTCTCTCTCTCCCTCTCTTTCATGCTCTTTGCCTGTATCTTCTTTTCTTGGGACTGTCCATTATTTCATGCCTTTGCTTCTTTCTCTCTCTGTCTCTCCTTTCTCTCTCTCTTTTGCCTGTATCTTTATTATTTTCCCCTTACCTTCCAATACAACTAAGACTGTCCATTATTTCATGCCTTTGGTTTTCTCTCTCTCTCTCTCTCTCTTCCTTTCTCTCCCTCTCTCTTGCCTCTCTCTTCCTTTCTCCCTCTCTCTCTCTTTGCCTGTATTTTTAATTTTTTTTCAATACACAACTAAAGACTGTCCATTATTTCATGCCTTTGCTTTTCTCTCTCTCTCTCTCTCTCCTTTTCTCTCCCCTCTCTCTTGCCTGTATCTTCTTATTCTTTCCTTATACCTTCCAATACAACTAAGACTGTCCAATTTCATGCCTTTGCTGTCCATTATTTCATGCCTTTTGCCTTATCTCTCTCTCTCTCTAAGACTTCTTTCTCTCCCTCCTCTCTCTCTTGCCTGTATCTTCTTATTCTTTCCTTATACACCTTCCAATACAACTAAGACTGTCCATTATTTCATGCCTTTGCTTTCTCTCTCTCTCTCTCTCTCTTCTTTCTCTCTCTCTCTCCTGCTCTTCTTATTCTTTCCCTATACCTTCCAATACAACCAAGACTGTCTTTTCTTATTCTTTTCTTCCTTTCTCTCTCTTTTCCTTTCTCTCCTCTATTCTTTCATTCCAATTCATAAGACTGTCCATTATTTTGCTTTTTTCTCTCTCTCTCTCTTCCTTTCTCTCCCTCTCTCTCTCTTTGCCTGTATCTTCTTATTCTTTCCCTATACCTTCCAATACCTTCCCATTATTTCATGCCTTTGACTGTCCATCTCTTTCCTTTCATGCCTCCTCTCTTTGCTTTTCTCTCTCTCTTCTCTTTATACCTCTCTCCATTTTCTTTCTCTCTCTCTCTCTCTTGCCTTTATCCCTCTTCTTTGCTCTTTCCTTATTCTTTCCCTTCCTTCCAATACAACTAAGACTGTCCATTATTTCATGCCTTTGCTTTCTCTCTCTCTCTCTCTTCTCTTCCTTTCTCCCTCTCTCTCTCCATTTGCCTGTATCTTCTTATTCTTTCCTCTCCAATACAACTAAGACCTTCCCTTGCTACAACTAAGACTGTCCATTATTTCATGCCTTCCAATACAACTTTATTTCTCTCTCTCTCTCTCTCTCTTCCTTTCTCTCCCTCTCTCTCTTTGCCTGTATCTTCTTATTCTTTCCCTTATACCTTCCAATACAACTAAGACTGTCCATTATTTCATGCCTTTGCTTTTCTCTCTCTCTCTCTCTCTCTTCCTTTCTCTCCCTCTCTCTCTTTGCCTGTATCTTCTTATTCTTTCCCTTATACCTTCCAATACAACTAAGACTGTCCATTATTTCATGCCTTTGCTTTTCTCTCTCTCTCTCTTCCATTTTTCTCTCCTTTCTCTCTCTTTCTCTCCTGTTCTTCTTATTCTTTCCCTTATCTTTTTCCCTTATACAATACTAAGACTGTCCATTATTTCATGCCTTTGCTTTTCTCTCTCTCTCTCTCTTCTATTCTTTCTCTCATCTCTCTCTCTTTGCCTGTATCTTATTCTTTCCCCTTATACCTTCCAATACAAACTAAGACTGTCCATTATTTCATGCCTTTGCTTTTCTCTCTCTCTCTCTCTCTCTCTCTCTTTTCCTTTATACCTTCCAATACAACTCATTTTTCATTCTCTTTCTTCTCTTCCTTCTCTCCTATTTTATCTAAATATATTATAAACATGGATTAGTTCTGGTTTTCTCTCTTCCTTTCTCTCCCTCTCTCTCTTGCCTGTATCTTCTTAAAATAAATAAAGAATGTCCAAATATGCTTTACTGCTCTTCTTTATCTTTTTGCCTGTATCTTTCTTTTCTTTCCTTATCTTTTCCATAAACAATTTTTCATTACATTTTTATAACTTTTGTCTCTCCATCTCCTCTATATTCCTATCTTTCACATACACACCACACACACACATATATATTCCATATTTTTATATATATATATTATAAATATATATATATATATATATGTATATAAATAAAAAAAAGAACATGTTTTTACTGATATAAAATCCGATTTGTTCTTATAGATATTTTATTTTTTTACAAATAATTGCTCAATGTAATTTTACACACACATTAATACACAACATTAATTGATTTAAAATATATATTATTTTATATATATACACAGTTCCAACCAAAAGAAAAAAATAGAAGATAAAAACCCTAATTTTATTTTTTGCAAATAAATTAAAAGCATTAGTTCTGATTTCATCTTCAGCTTGAAGATGAAATAGAACTAATGCTATTATTTAAAAAAATAAAATTAGGTTTTAGCTTCTATTTTTGAAACATGGTTGAAACTGTAATAAAAATAACTATTTTAAATCAATTAATTTATAATATATATATATATATATATATATATATATATATATATATATATATATATATATATATATATATTTTTTTTTCATCTAGTTTTCATTTCAATTTTATTTTCTATAGCTTTCTTAACTTTCTTCCTTGACATCCACATTTCCTCCTACCACCTCTCCTTCAACTTTCTAATTCCTTCCCAGTTAATATTATTATGTAGGCTTCTCAGAAAGGTCAGGAATTGGACAGATACTACACTTTGATCCTAGGTATTAAAGCATAATGGTTGTACATACAAACAAGCAGAACAATAGAATTATTTCAAAATAAAACTATATGTGCATGCATAATGTTATAATTTTTGTGAAATTATTGGGATGTTTACTTTAAATTATTTTCATAAATATGGACTAGTCATCATATCTAGAAGGCATATCAGATACAGGAGTAATACGATAGCAGAAAATATTTAATAAATAATTATCCATAGAAGTAAAGGCTAAACAAATATTGGCTAAGTGAAGGGCTTCATCTTCATATATAATAAACTATGTTTTTTTTACAGTATGCATTTATATTATATATAAATTTTGCATTGTTTATCAATGATGCTATTTAGTTTTCTATCTTTAAGCAATATTTTATTTATTGCACAAAAAAGATTTATTTCAATTTGAAACTTATGGCATTCTAGTGAATTTCAAAATAAATATTTGTTTTTCAATTTTTTAAAAGTATTTTTAATGTTGAAATGAGTTGCTTCATCTTGATTATTCCTGTTTTTATATTTATCACAAATGTCAAGTTATGAAAATGCCATTTAGTAAAATAAAGGTTTTTCTATAGATTTTCACCAATTTGAAAGAACTCTAAACAGTAGAAAATGTTTTCTATTACACATGTCATATATAAGAATACAGTTGTTATCTGAATGCATGTATATAACAAATTTCAAATATCTTTTGTATACTTACAGCAGAATATTTTCAAGAATTATATCAGTTAATTTTAAGTGAATGCATTTACTTAATGTCCAGATTGTTTCTGGTAATTTTTTCTTTTTTGAATATTCTCAGTCTTAACTAGCCATAGCATGAGCAAGAAGAGAGATGACATCCTCCTGATATTCTGGACACTCCGTAGACATTCTAGTATTATTCATTATTTGGTATTGACCTATGCATTTTTTTTTTTTCAAAAGTTGTTCATATGTCCATAAAATGTCTGATAAATATCATTTCTCTCTACTGTGCACTTTGGAAAATAAAACAACACTTTATTTAAAGCTGTTTATGTTAATCATATTACTGTTTACTTTGACTATATAAGTTTATTATTATTATTATTATGTTATTATAAGTTTATGATTATTTAAATTCCATTATTGAGGCATGGTATCACAAAGACTCCTCACAACTTGAGAACTTTGGTCTCAGTTCCAGTTTTCCTTAAGTGCCTTTTGAATTTTCTAGATTATGTTCCAAGTGCATTCATTACTACAAAAATTACTTAATCATATTCCATTATTTTTATTATTATTGTCTTCATTTGATTTCTGTTGTATACATATTTCCTTCTGTATCCCAACCAGAAATGACTTCATGACATTTTCCACTAATCATTTTTGTAAATAATAACTCATAATGACTGAAATTATTAAAAATGACAATGAAGTCATCTAAGTTTGCAATCTGCTGCTGGTGAAAATAGTATAAGCTGATGATGTATGTATTCAAAATAAACCTGCCCTAAGCTTCTGGGACATTTCAGAATTAAAGTAATACATTTCTGCAATCATTGCAATACTATCAATTGTAGCAAAAATATTACACACTTATTTTGTGGAGCTTGAATGACTTAAAAAAATATTTCCCATGTAAATTAATGGTAAATGCTTCTTTCTTTTTTTCTTCCCTTTATTTTACATGCAACTTAATTTTTGGAAATCAGACGTTTTCTACTGATCATGGGCATATGAGTTTTATTCCCTGACTCAGGGATTAGACATATCTAGATATACTTGACAATTAGACCATTGTTTCATAAGAAGATGGAATTTTGGAGCTTTAAATTTAATGCTTTTTTTTTTCCATTATCAATTGTCTTACAAAACAATGACCTGATGAATTGATTAAAATGCATCTAGTTGCCTTCTGGTCTGGACCATAACAATCAAGATGATAACACTAATCCAAATAGCTCAATGTATAATAATGATAATTCCTCATCTCAGAAACTTAGGTATTCCTAATGATTTTAGTTTTTATTTTCAGGACATCTCTCTTCCTTAGTCATGTTTTAAGGATTTTTTATGATTGCTATTACCATGTTATAGCTATTAACACATTTCCTCTATAATCTTTTGCTACTGCTGTTAGGGATCTGGTTATTATAAATTTGGCATGGTTAAACTGTCATAATTTCTGATTGTTGTTGCCTCATTGGTTCTATTTTGGCAAGAGCCAATACTCTATTAGTATCAAATGTGGAGAGGTGAGGTTGAAAGAGTTTTTCATAATTGAAATGTTTAATGTTTTTTGCAATGTTTTCAGTTCTGATTTTTCCTCAAATGAAAAAAAGATTTTATCCTTTACCATTTGCATTATCTAAATTTGTATTGGGGGAAATATGGATGCTGCTTTTTCATTTGCCACAAAATTGGAATTTTTTCCATGAGCCTATTAAATCACTAATACTAAGTTTTCTTGTTTACATCAGAAGAAAATATCTCTTACAGAATAGAATTTTAAGGAATTGTGTTGGAAATTAGTAAACCTAATAGACTTGACTGTCACAGTTTTTTTCTTGTCTTGTTCTTGTAAGGATTGACTAAAAATATTTTAATATAGATATAAATGTTTATTAACATTTCATTACAGATTTTTTTCTAATATCTGTATATAAGGGCAGATAACTTATGTTATTCACTGAGTGTGCTGCTGGTTGAGTGTGTCTCAAAAATTGGTAGATAGGTAGTTGTTATTGCTAATATTATAAAATGAAGTATCTTTTATAATTATTTGCTATTTCCAATGATTCTGAAGGATTTACTACTCTTCAAGCATTGTTGATGGGATTTTGCCTCGAGTTCTCTCTTGGTACAATTGTTACCAAAATGTAATGGTAACTTATATTGCCAGAATTAACTGATCATTCAGTTCCTGTCTCTCTCTCTCTCTCTCTCTATTTTTTTTTTCTTTTATTTTTATGGAACATTTTTTTCTAATTTAAATATTGTAATTGGGTAAAAGCAGATACAAATTGAAGTGCCTATTTTTTAACAATTTTTCTGATATCAATTCTCTCAAATTGTTTTTCTTTATATTGGGAAGCATTTCTGTTCAACTTTTAAAATTTCATGAATGGAGCAAATTTCTTGAAAGGAAATTCTCTGGTTTCTAAAATTTTATTATGATAATTTTTTTTATTTTATCCATTTGCTTTTTTATGCATTGTTGATAAGTAATATTTATATGATGAAGTCTTGTCATTATTCCATGGATTGTGTAGACTAGTATCTTCATCTTTGTTTTAAATATGACATTTTATGTCACCTGATAAGCAATTTTAAATCATCTTTAATTATTGCATGTTATTGAACATTATTCAGCATCCTTGAAAAGAATAGAACATTTCTTGTGAAACCTTGACTTATACATATTTTATAATTATATACATTACTTATATATAAATGATTATTTTCATCAACTGCATAGAGTATAAGTTTCGTAGGTTCTTCAGGAGTATCAAAAATGCAAGATTCTTGTCTGACTAATCCATGGAAGAATAATTTTTTCTTGTGTTCATGTAATTAGTTTCCTCTCTTAGAATAAAATCAAGAATCTTCCTTCAGAAAATATGTCTTTCTCTTTTGTAGTAAATGAGAAAAATTATGGGGAGAAGAATTCTTAAGTTATCTGCTTTTAAAGTTCAACAACTCTTGGGAAAATTCTGATTTTGTTAAAGTAGTAGTTTCTAATACCAGTTTTATTTATTCTTTTTATTGAAAATGACTTTAATGTAAGATTTATAGTTAAACACAGTCTTTAATAAGATCTTTTCTGCTTGTTAAATCTTTATTATTTAAGTTTTTAATTTCTTGAAAACGTAAATGAATCAGTAACTTATTGCCTATATTTGGCAATCTTTTTAATATGTTACAGATAATAGAAATAAAAGCCTTTTCTGCAGTTAATGTTAACTTTGATCTCGATTGATACTTTTTGGCAAAAATGACAGCATTCAGATAACAGTGATTATTTTATAATTATCTTTTTATTTAATTTTGAACAGGATGTTTGCATGTACATAGTGGAAATATGATTGAAAATGTATAAATACATTAACTTTTGCAGCCAAATTCTATTCTCTCTCTCATATGTATTTGTTGATAAATGTTTCATTGTTTTTTTTGTTTTGTTTTTTTATATATATCACATTTATCTTGGCTGCTTACCCTGAAAATATAAATTTTTTTCTAGTTAGATTTTAATTCCTCAGCTCCCTTTTGTGACTGAAACTTGTGCAGGGCCCCCATAAATGTTACTATTAGAACACACGACTAGATGTGATTTTGATTTCAGGTTCGGACATGGCTGTTTCATGCACTGTTTGGAATGTTTGTATCAGGTAGGATTTCTTTAGTACCACAGTTAGATCCTATTACTACTAATAACATTACTGCTACTAATAATGTAACTGTTCATACTTCCTTTTTTTTGTTAAGAAATCATGTTTATAGTCATTAGAATGTCAACATTTAGTTTAAAAGAGAATTAATGAAAAGAAACAAGATTCTCAAATTATTCATATATTTTTTTAAATGCTGTTTTAAAATTATATAAATTAAGCTTAAAATTTGATTAGTATCATTTAAAAAAACAATTTTGATAATTTTAGAAAAATATAATGTCCTTAGATATTTATATATTTACAAGAAAATTTTATGTTTTTTAAATCTTTGTCTACAGTTAAAATGTTACAAAATATCTAATTAAGAAGCAATAATTAAAATATTTTACTGATATTTAAGAAGACTGATTATGAATGTTAAAAAAATGAGTTTCAGGTTGTACAATCTGTAAATCTTCAGTTTATTTGTAAGACAATAATACAGACTTTGAAATAAGTAGTTATTGACTGATTTGATAATAATTTAACAAGAATGTCTGGATTGTAAATTCACTCTACAGTAAAGTAAACTTTAATGACTTTAAAGCCAGCAATCTCTTTTCATTGATAGAAAAAAGTGCACCAACCAGAATCTGCAACTAGAAATGAATGACTCTAATATTTTCATAAACATTCACTGGCCTATAAGGAGCATATTTTACAAGGATAGTTTTAAAACTGTAATTCAGTACCTCCCCCCCATGCTGTACAGCTCCAACCAACACCCACCTTTACAGTTTCAACCTTTTATGGTTAGCCTCCCATCTGTAATACCAGTGCTCAAGTTTTAGTGTAATATAAAGCAGTGGTTAACAAAGTCGTCTAATAGTGCATTGAGCTTAGCTCAATAATATATACATAATGTACGAACTGTATTTAATGGCTTTTGAGACATTTGTTGTTTTTTTTTTTTTTTAGGTTACTATTTACTTCACCTCATCCCAACTCTTTAACTGTATATTTCAAACTCCTGTCCATTGTACCAGTATATTATATGCAATATAACGTTTGTATACTTTCTATGGATGCACGGTGGAGTAATGGATAGCTGCTCAGGCTGAGGAATTGGAGAGCCATGTTTGAATTCCAGTTGAATCCATTACATTTACTTACGTGCCAATACCCTTGGGAAAAGGTATGAATCCTTTTCTTCTCCCCCAAGATATGGGTAAATAGAAGAACAGACTGGGTTGTATAGCTTTGGATGGCAACTGATCTACCGCAGAAAGAAATAGCAACCTACTGTGGGGAAAAACCTGCCTTGCCAGTCATGTATCAAAAGATACATCATTGCCTAAGCGTGTATCACGCATATCACATAACTGATACTTTCTATTTAAAAAAAAATGAAAAGTATATCTTGTAGGTTGGTAAATATAATAATTGTTTTTTTGTTTTGTCACAATGTTTCAGCCAATATATTTTCTGGCCTTGAAAACTATCTGCTTCAATGTTCAAGGACGCAGGAGTGAATAATTCATTTTGGATGAAATCCTTTTATTTTATTCAGAAAAGGTTTATTACTCTCGTGCCTTGCATGTCATATCTACATGAAGTATCCTGACTGAACATATAACTACCAATTTTTTTCCTCTATTCATCTGGTTATGGAGTTTTTTACTACCTGTAATCAAGGAATACACAATTCCCAGGAAATCTAAAAGGCAGTAGAAACCAACACCTTCATTTACTTGTTTATGTTTGCTCTCATTACCAATCTGGGTTCATGTTTACCCATTTCTCTTACCCCAAACTTGGCCAGAGTGTCCTATCAAAATTTCAATTATTTATTAACGTGTCATCAAATAACTCTGTTTTTTTAATTCTTCTTTTTATCAGAACAACAAATGGAGATTGCTGGCTGAGTGCAGTTTTACTTGACTGTTAAGTGACTGAACAGTCCCTATATTTTTCATTTAAGTTCTATTTTTATATAGAAGATACTATTATATAATTAATTTTGCATTTTTCTAAAGATATATAGATATTTTGTATATCTTGTTTGTTTGCGTGTGTATGTAATAAATGAATATATATATATATATATATATATATATATATATATATTATGTGTGTATGTGATGTAGGTACATCAACAATAAGTTTGTAGCCTAATTTATATTATGGGTGTGTGTTTGTCTGTTGCCAAAGCACAGCCGAAACAGCAGATCAAAACAAGATTTTTATGTTAGGATAACATCATTAAAATGCTTTAACTTGAAGAATAAAACAATTTCCAGTCAAATTTTCAATTTAATCATAACTATGGCATCTGCATTCAGATTCACTCCAATGGTGATAATGATCCATATTTTTTTTTTTTGGTGTGTGTGTGTGTGTGTGTGTGTGTGTTGCAAAAGCTGAAAAGAAAACATTGAAAGAGGAAAAAAAGAGAATATTCATTGATGCATTTATTTTGTTAAAAAAATACTTGTTTTGTTATAGAAATTATTTCTTAAATAAATATCATTATTTCGAGTAAAAAAAAAATTATTTATCATTTCATTTCTTTTTCCTTTCTTTTTCCTTTCCCTTTCTATCATGAACATTTCCATACTTAATCCAAAAAAATAATTTCTTTAAATTATATGCATGTCCATTCAAAAATCATTTAATACTAGACTCTTGTTGCATGGGGAGTACTTTCCCCTTATTTATTTATTTATATGTTATGATAATATAAACCCTATAAATGACATTGATTTGAAATTGAACTTATCTTTTAAGCTAGTAATAAAAAAAAGTATTTATTTTATACTACAAATATTTTTCAGCATAATCTCCTTCCTTTTTGTTGAACTAAACACTTAATTGATCATAGATCAAACACCATTATACATTGGAAATTTCAGATCAAAATTTAGCTAATAGCTTTGTGTCTGGATACAAATTTATTGATCCATCTTTGTATAATATCTAATTTATGTAGACGGTGTAATAATAGGTTTCTCCTTAATTTTTAGTTGAGAGCTTCTATTAATTGCTAAGAAATACTGGCCATTTTCCTATTGTGAAAAGGTAAATATGTTCTAAATACATTTCCATGAAATATTAATCTGAGAGAAGCCAGCATAAATATTTTATAAAATGGTTATGAAGTGATTCAATTTATAAGCAGATAACTTATTAATAATTGTTAAGTTTTTAAAACCTCACAGATTCAGGTTTTTGATTGAATATGATCAGTTATTTTATTTACACTATTTACATTCAAGCCAATGGGGTCAGCTTTGTTATTAGCGCAACATTTCAGCTGTTTTGCCTTCCCCAATCTTCCCCAGGTGTCTGTCAATAACAAAAAAGATTAGGATACTTGTGGATTAGCCATGGTCAAATGCAAAATAAGTAACAGAACTGTCCAACAAATAGAATTGACAAAATTTGCAATAACAAGATAAAGGACAGGGCAAAAATAATATAAAGGAAGCAAACAATATATGCAAGGCAAATTAACAGTAATAAGGTAAAGCAACAGTATTATGGTAAAACTTCACAAACTAAGAATTGGCGTCTGACAAGCAAACATAGCATCCTGACTTCAAGATAAGACAGACTAGGATTGAGTTAGATGAAACAGAGAACAAAATTCTTGCCCCTTAACAAAGGGGCAAGAATTTTGCAGTTATTACCCAATTAGATTAGAATCAACAATACTGTCTGTAATATAAATAATGATAACTCCTCATCCCAGAAATTCTGACAAACATTACTTAAGTTTTTTTAATTAAGTTGCATTATGGAATTGTATGCCATGCAACTGTGAAAGATTTTAATCAGTCATTAACGAAAGAGCCTGTAAAGTGCACAAAACTACAGCTGTAACAATACACTGTCGGATTTTATCATTTAAGTCATTGTTTTCACAATAAAATTGCTATTATCTGACCAATGCGACAAAATCTTCAACACCTATATAAATGAGTTTCCGTTTATAATGTCTACCTTTATTAAAAAATAGTGATAAGAACTTGTTCTTGCAATGACAGGTTATATTATGTAAACAAACTAAGTAAAACAAGTTTTTATCTATACATAAAATCCCAAACATATAGACCATAGAAACATTTGATTAACACAATATCCTGTATATCTGCATAAATTATGTTAATAAAGGCTCGTTCCTCTAAATTTCATCAGTCTTTCACCCACTGATGTTGTTAACCATCACATTACTCTTTTGCATAATTATTATTTCCTATTCTCGTAATTTTAATAATGGACAACTTTTCTAATGGAAAGCTTATGAGGGTCATTTTATTAATTTGGTGTCGTTGTGAACTTTTTGACAAGGTGGGCAATACTCAGATTTTATAGAGTGTAAAGGAGCATTGTTTTGCATGAATATACACTTCAGCTTAAAGTTTTTTGTTTGTGACCTGCAACACTTGTCCAAAAACTTATAATAATTCTCTGTATTTACCTTGATACGATCACTAAATTTAAAAAGACCTATAATTTTACTGCCTGTAATACTAGCCCAAAACATTGTTCCACTTCTCCCTTTCATGTTGGTAGACTATTTCCATAAGGGGTCTGTAGAGATACAGGAAGACCGTTGACACGGGGACGCCAATTGGAGAACACCGGTAGTCCTCGGGCCAGTATAAATACGGCTAGAATATCGAATCGGTGAAGGCTGACTTGGCTTTTATCGAGTCAACTGTACATGGCGCTGTGGACAGGATTTCAAATATTTTTACGTGCGATTAATTTGAAAATTAATGGAAATGGCTTCAGGACAACAAGGCGGTAGTGAACAGTATTTACCTTCAGTTCAACAATTGATTGAACTACAGAGAGAGAACGAACCGCTCTCACAGGGAGGATGGACCAAACCGTGTCTCACTAAAAAACCAGACAGACCCATTGTTGAGCATGGTTACACAGAAGGAGACTGGACACTGTTCGTTGACACTTGGGACTGATATAAGCACATGTGGCTTAACAAGTCTGGCGAT